AAGAAACATTCTTTTTTTTTAAAACCTTTTATTGTTATTATTAAAAAGGGAGCAAGTTGCAATGAATATTTAACGAATTATAGAATGGATGCTACAACATTTGTCAATATGCGTGGATTTGATAATTTGACTCAACAATATTGTTGTACGTGAACTAGATTATTACACTTCACTGAAAATTATGGTCAACGAGCCAATATTTTACGATTTTTTATTTATTATTATCGTTATTATTGTTTTTCAGATATTTTTAATCCCAATAACGGATCACCTGACGTAAATTCTCTTGCATTTGATAATTCTACTCAAAAGATAGCACTCGCATTATGGTCGAGCGAGGCTGCAAATAACACGGTAAAAATATATTACCGTTTGTAAATTTACATCATATTTTAATTTCTTACTAATCTTACTACCAAATTTAGTTAGGTGCCATCACGCAGGATAGATGGTTTTTTTTTGGTACTTTCAACGAATTTGAAGATCCAACATTTGTTAAATTCCAAATTGTTAAAATGGTAACTATATATATTAATTATGTTATCTGTTATCGTTATGCATATTAAACCAAGTTTAGAAAATTCACAATTTTATATAAAAACTTTACAGCCAGCGATTTCTTACATATATTTTAACAGAATCGAAAAATATGATGTTTCAAAAGCAGATGCCATAACCGGTGGTGGTACAAATTCGGGTACACAAACTCACTCCGGAGCAACTATCGTGTACGAGACTACGTTCACAAGCTTTGCTATTGAAGGATTTAAAATAGATTCTCATCTTTGGGTACTTTTTAGGATTATTCCATCCAATTATGTAACTAATACAAAAACAAATTCTCAAGAATATCCTGTAGAGATTTGGTTTAACCGAGTGGAATTTTCTCTATTCCAACTAATTGCTAATATGGGTGGTCTAATAAGCATCTTTAGTGTAGTATATTTTTTTTTGTTAGGATCATGGAAGGTTAATCCTTGGGGCGTTGTACAACGTTATGTAAGAATTTCATTGAATAGTTAGAGAGTTCCAATCCGGATAAATCCATCATCCATTTATCCGTATCTAATTATCCGGATAATTCCGATCGCTCGGATATTCGGCTAATCCGACAAGTATCGGTATTCGGATAATTATCCGGATAAATGCTTTAATGGATTGGAACTCTAAATAGTTAAACTTATTAATATTTTAATATCTCATAATTAATTTATTTTTTAATAGATTCTTAAATCGGTTCCGCCACCTCCAGAATTTTATACTTTCACGTCCAAACCTTATATAGAAAATTCGAATATTCGCCCTCAACATGATAATGGGACCAATTTCTCGAATAACTCACTTCGACATGGTTCAGGAACAGGCCTTTCACTGTCTGATGTACAAACGCATAAAGAAACGAGGGTTTCAGTACCTTCACAGCCCGATATTCCACAATCACCAGAACAACGAGTACATAGAGAATATATGGAACGTTATATCGAACCATCATCATCATCCTCAGACATGGATGATCCAAGAATACAGAAATTAAGGAATGATTTGAGAGCAGAAGTACAAAGAACAATTGCTAATGAACTAGCGAAACTAAAATTATTTTTAAGTAAATATTATCTTAAAGATGTAATAAAGATAAATTAATAATAACTAAATTACTTATATACACGTGATTAAAAATTAGCAGCAATTAATTCATTCATTATATTATTTATAATAAATTATAATAAGTGCTACTACTATTATTGATTTAATAATGAAAATTTACTTTTTTCTTTTAAAAATTATTATTAAATGTTTTCTTACATAAATTATTTTACACTGTGATAACTTCACCAATGCATCCTGAACACCTTCCAATCTCAAAATCGCCACTGAATTGAGAAAATGAAAGTCGACGGTTTGCACTATTTGGTGATGGTAGTCCAGTACGATGGGTTGAATCATTCCGTTGATTCTGATCAGAATTGTAAGCAGCATTAAATCGTCGACCAATTTCACGTGTAGTACCATTACCCATTAATGTAGCTCCATTATTATGTCCTACATTCTCTTTCAATGAAGTAAGAGTGCTCTGAATTTTAGCAACTTCTTGTTCCAGTCTTGTAGCTCTTAATTTCTCTTTTTCTATTTCTTCTGTCAAATTTAATTTATCATTATTTATTTCTACGATTTTTGCTTGTAACTCAGTCAATTGAGATATCAAGTTTCGATTATCGGATGATAATCCGTCATTTTTTGTTGTAATATCTTTAATTCGTTTGGTCAATTTTGAATTTTCTAACTGAGAATTCTGTAATTCTGAGGAAAAATTGTCATGCTCTCTATGCAATTCATCCACTACAGCTATTTTTAATTTTAATTGCTCATTAACTTCAGCAAATTCAATTTTCAGAGCCTCAAGTTCGCTTGATTTCTCCTCGATTTGTTGACTAACACGATTCTTATCATCAGTTAATGATTGAATTTGATTGGACATGGATTCGAATTTTGACATAGTTTCACGTGATTCGCTTTCAGCAATCAAGAGTTTGCTTTCTTTTTCAGAGAGCTGTTGCTCCGCATTAGTTAATAGATGTCTTAGATTTGATAATTCTATTTCAAGTGCTTCACATCTATCCTCTTTGTCTTGAAGAGTTTTTTGTAGTGCTTCTACTTCATCAGATGCAGAACGAATGTTGGCTTTCTCTGTAGTGAGTTGTTCGATTATCGAATCTTTGTTGTTCAGTTGAGACATAAGTTGCTTGTTATCTTTTTCTAGTTGTTCAACACGCGTATTCTGAATTATACAATTTTGAAATTAGAAGAATGTTTATGAAAAAGAATTATTAATAGGGATAAAAACAATACAACACCTGTGATTGCAATGATTCTATTATTTTTTTTTTCTGTTCATCGGAATCTTTCAATCGATCTTCACCATTTCGAATCTTTTCTTCCAATTCACTATTCTGACGTCTTAAAGCGTCAACTAACAATTGACCCTCTTCCAATAATTCCTCACTGCTTTTAAAACGATCTGCCATTGCTGAATATTTTTCTAATTCTGATGCCAATGCAGTCTTTTCTTCTACAAGCAAAGCGATGGTTTGCTGTTGCATACGACATATATTAGCAAGTGCTTCGAAAGAAAAAGGTTCATCACCCGATATACCAGGAGATATTGTTGTGTTCTCAACAGGAACAGAATCAATTGAATTTGATAATAAGTTCGTTTGAGGTTGTTGACCATGAGGTAATGTGACTGGTTGTAGACCTTCAACTAGAGAACCGTGAGATGTCAAACTGGAAACAGAAAACGATTTAGAATTTAAGTTAAAATTTGCAGAATATATACCTAAAACAATTACTGATGATAAAAAACTCACTTTAATACTTGGGTTGCTGGTGCTTCGCTGTTACTTGATACAACTTCGGTAAGTGCATTATTTTCATCGATTGTGCTTGTCCTGTACACAATTGTGAACGACATTAGTGAATCGAGTAATATATGTTAAGTGAATTTAATTGATTTTCGTTTTTTTTGCATCAGTATAAATAATTTTTTATCATCGCCCTTATGGAAAGGTTCAATCTTAGATGTTCTGTAATTTTTTTTTTGATCATCATTCTGTCCTCATATGAATAAGAAATTAACAATGCATACTCTTGTCCAGTTCCATCTGTTCTAACACTTCCAGAATCCGAAGTTACACTGGACCTTCTGGTACTTGTTGCGGCCGTAGACTCCAAACTTGTTCTGCGTGTTGAAGTTGAAGAGCCATCTGTAGAAGCATTTGTGGCTTTTTTCTTTTGATATTTCCTAAGCTAAACACAAGGTTAAAAATTGAACAAAAATTTCGATAAATTGAAGGTAAAAGTACCTTTTTCTTGGCTGCCAATAGTTTTTCTTCCCGCGCAGCTTCACTTTCCATATTGTCAAATTTTCAGGCTTTCTTTTTTATTCGAATGGATAAAAAGGTTGCAGCTCTGTCAAAATCAATTAATCACATGAAAATATCCAAGATTGGCGAACTGAAAAAATGTGGTAATAGAATTTCAAATTTTCGTGTAACGTTCTGCAGCAAATAAGTTTATAACAAATAAATGCTTGACCTTTAAAAGAAATTTATTCATTGAGCTTTTAAACCAACGAAAATCTGGGTCAGTAATGGGTCGGGCCCGGCCCATTGCGAATCTTACCATAAAACATAGCGATGCAAGGCACCATAGTATTTTACATGATTTTTACATGATTTATACTATAGAGGCACTTATGTAAAGCGGGCATATTGAATGAAGATAATCACTTTGTAAAATTATTTATTTTTTGTTGTGGCTGATTCTGAAATTGGTTGATACTGAAATTTGGACCTATCGCTATATATTTTGACATGGATTTTTAAAAATTTTTTGGGTGATTTTTTTCTTTTTTTTTAGGGTTATATTTGATAATCAAGAGTATATGTGGATTTTAGCAGGGCTTATATTTTTAAATCGCGACCCCAAATTTCAGCATCAGCCGCACATTTATTTATCATATTTCACAATTTTTTACATTCTGTAAGATGCTTTAATACGGTTACGTATAATTTTTCATAAATCTTTTTTTGCTTGAATTTCAAAAAAAATATAAAATAGTAATGGCAGATGTATTATAGAAAAGAAATATACTTAAATTAACCAGTGGTAATCATCACCACCCCTAATTATTTTTAGGGGTAGGGTGCGGGTATTAAGAATTATTTTTTTTTATATAATATAATATAGAGCTAATATAAGGTTCCAATTTCAGTTCTCATGAGGTTTTTAGGGGCTCTGAACTTAGAGTACCCGATCCCGTTTACTTAGTACATTTTTGAGATATAAGCACCCTGATGATGATCACTAGTTATAGTTAGTAATACTCTAGAGAAAAAAGCAAAAAAGATTGAAAAATTAATTTCTATCGTTGGTCTTATAGTCATTTTGTTTATTCATAAAACTTGGTTGTACTCAACGAACCAAATAAAAATATAAATCAAAGAAGGAATTATGTAATAATTAACCTTTGCAAGACCAAGCAATGAAATCATTCTATCCATAAATTTTGTAATTTTTAGTATATATTCTAATTCTTCTGATTCCGTGATCTTTTGAGATTGTAATTTGATATAAGGCGCCAAGATTTCTTCATTAAGACTAAAAAAACGTTGATCGATATTTTTGCATCTACCGATTTTATATAACTTTTCGTGCCTCATTTAGTGACATAAACGCCCAGATAATTGTTGCCACAGATATGTGATTATTACTTCTTGTATAATAGAGTTTTAATTTCCTAAGTGCTTTCTCAGTAAACTCATGATTATATGTTTTCATTTCAACAGTATTGTTTGCATTTCAACAGTATAAATTCGTTTAGTAGTTTAGGCTGAATGATAATTATCGTTACCCCAAAGGTTTCTACATTTATAAGCAACTAATTTCTTTCTTGTTCATCAGTTGTTATTTTTCTTGCAATTTCAAGGAATTTTTTCCAAATTGAATTTTGGTCTTCCCAATTTTTGGAGTGTTTGAATTTTGCAACTTGTTCGTTCAATTAAATATTAAAAATTAGAAAATGATTAAATATAGTCCTTTTCTTAAAAAAAAAAGAACAATTAGGGTTGAATGCTTACTGTATTGAACAATTTGTTTATTTTAACCAGTTCATTTTTCTTGATTAAAGTTTTCCACTCTAAAGGAGAAGGTGAAAACCATGTCCAATTGAAAAATTTAAAGCATTTTTCATGAACATATCTTTCATAAAGTGACTTGGGAAGGTATTATCGTTGTTTGTCTCAGTGTAATTTTCAATTTATTAAAGTACTTTCGATGCATTCAAATTTATAGTAGTATTAGTGTTATACGCCAGTTTACGATTTATGTTGATTTTAATAACATATATGTTATTTATAATTTGACTACATTGATTTGATTATAATTTAATAAATTTATCGATTGCGTAGAGAAATATATAAATGGGTGCTCGAGAGTAAATATCTGTAATATCACAATTCTTCAGGGGATAAGTTTTACTTACAGGATTTTTGCTCTCGAGCACTCAAATAAAAAATAAATTTAAATTTTACCTTTAATTATTTTTTCGTTCAATATGATTCAAATAATTCGTTTTTCTTTTTTTTTTTTTATATTAAAAGTAATCGAAAAAATCAAAAATATACTATGAATCGATCAAAATATAATCATTGTTTAACATTTTGACTCTACAAGTACACATGAAATCCAAAGTTAATGAGTTTTTTTATACCTTTACGGTAGTTAAAGTTGGAAATATTGAAGAGCTATAAATTAAAGCTTAAAAAATCATAATCATAGTAAACAAATTTTTCCTATAAAAATTTTTATACCATAACTTGTCAAGCTCATCAGGGTATGAAATATGGTGGCACTTAATATTATTCTACTTGGCATTTCTTAAAAAATGCCACGACACAGTAAATTTGACACGACCACTGCACACGACTAAAAATAATCTAACGATTCAAGAACAAGTGACTGAACAAGTAAAAAAACAAGATACTCAAAGTAATTGCAGTCACAACAAAATTAAAATTATCAACGGGTCATTGTTTTTTTATAACTATACTTTGTTGCTATATCAAATTCGTAAGATTGTTATCTGTTATTGTTTAAATCTATTTAATTTTACGAGGTAAAACATACAATGCTCGAATAAATATTAAAATGTATATGCTGCTTAATTTTCATGGTAATCGATATTATAATACCGATCATGCTATAATATACGAAATGACAGAATTAACATAAGCTGATCGTGGTCCGATATATTTGTTACTGTATTTAAAACCAGTATTTCCTGATCCAACTCTTTTTTAACTTTCTTGACTCAGGGTTGCTAATCTAATTGATTTATTTCAGGTACATAAACAAGTTTACTTTAGATAATGAGGTAAAGCTTAATTTTTATTTATTAAAATAAGGAAATTGTATTTCCTTTTGTTAATTTATCTATAATCTGCTATCGCTATTTCAAATTGTGGTAAATTAGTGGTTTCATTTGGTGTATCATTGTTATTATTAATTTGCTGTGTGGTGGGAAGCATGATGGAGTTTTCGAATTGATTTATTCTTTTTTTTCTTTTTGATTTTTTGATTTTTTTGATTTAGCAAATCAAACTTAGTGCTTGCTTCGTCAGTCAAGCATTCATATTCTTTTTTTATTTCTCGCTTTCTTATTTCCAATATACGCTGAGTTGTTATCCAGCAATCCTCCAAGATGATAAGCAAAGACTAGGATATAGATCCTTTTTTTGATGATTAATAGCTTCCTTATACCATTTATAGGGTAGATTTTTTAAAACATTGTATATATTCATCTTTCTTTCTAGATATCCTAGATCTCTTGAGGTAGGGTGTAAGGAACTAATTGTCCATGTTTTCAAAACCAAAACTCTCTCATTCAATTTTTCCATTGACTTTCTCCAATAATTAAAAAGTTTAGCGTTTAATATTTTCTTCACAAATTTATCTGATTCAATCATATCGAGGGTTGAGTTCTATCTTGTTTTTGAATCAAGCATTGGATTATTATATTGTGTATTAAAAGAAACACATGATTATATTTTTTGATAAAAATGTAAGGATATTAAGTATATTGGTTTGTAAAATGTAATTGAATTGAGCTTCCACCTGCAGCTTTAACTAGATGCTTACAGATTATAAAGATCATAAAGCGGCTAAATAAGTAAGAATAATTTCCTTAATCTTTGACTGTGATGACCGAAATTTGGCAATTAACAGTCATTACGTGAGTGGTAAGGATATTGGTCTTACTAGTAGGGTAAGGGTAAGGGTTAAAGAATAGGGTAAAGCTTTATATATTGTAATATAGGAAACTTAGGTTTTCCGACAGTTACATGCTTATAAAAAAGAGAATTTTACTACTTTTGATATCAGTCACTCGATTTGTCACATCTAAAATTTTATCATATAATCATCAAACATTACACAAATTGACGAAGTTACAATTTTAAAATTTTTACATAAAGCTTTAGTTGAAATATATAGTGTTCCTTAAGGCAAACTTATTCTTGAGGTTTTTATAAATCAAATAGTACTGGGATCGTACAAAATAAACCGTCCCTTATAGAATACTACACCTTTGAAAGTGAGTAATTATTTTACCTATTTTCGCTTGATTAATTTTTAGGTCGCAAATTCATAATACAATAAGTAACTTACTAGCCACATTAGCATGAGAGCTTTCTCCAAAATGCATCTTCGAAGGGCTAATGCATTATGAATATAATGAAGAAAGTCAGGGTACAGTTTTACCAATAAGTAAATCATATGAATTAAACATTTTATTTTATAACTAACCTTCATTTATGAAAAGTATTCTTTATTTTTAAAACAATTTTAATATTTATTATTTATTTATTTATTTGATTTTTTTGCACCCACTTTTTTGATCTTATGTATTAGTTATACCATCAATCATGAATTTGCTTTTGATCCTAATAAGAAGTATGAATTAACAACCTTTTAACCAGATCTTTAACAACCTCCAAAGAAGAATCTTTATAATTTTCAAGCTCTGATAGAATTTGTTTTTCAGCATTTACACCAACTAAACTGCAGGATTGCCAACTAGAAGAAAAGAACATGTGCTTTAGAAGTATGTACCAATTATGAGGTATCTAAAGCCTAGGCAGACTAACCTATTCAGGTTGCTGCTGGGAGTAAGGAAGAGACTAGTAAAGAATTCAGGGATAAAGAAAAGTTAGAATGTAGATACTAGGGTTGTTGTGAACCCTATAAGACTAAGGAGTAAATAATAGACAACTAATTAGAAAGGCTGTGGCTTGAGTAACTGTGAAATAGCAGCATTCCAAAAGATAGTATGAGATATAAACACAGTATAGCAGCACAGCATGTACTAGTTAAAAAGAAGTTATTGAACATGTAGATAAAAATATATATAGGATATAAATTACTCTGTTTGGCACAGGTTGAAATAAGGCAAATCAGGTTCAAATTGATATCACAATATCCTAATATAAATCTGATTTGAAACAGATATTTGGTGCAAATAAGATACCTATAGGATACAATTTGAATTTATATCAGCTCACAAGATATATCAGCAAAACAATAGCTTTATAAGTAAATCAATAAAGCAAATCTTATAGCTCTATCAATTTATCTATAGAGTTATTGTTTTGCCAATATGTCTTGTGAGCTGATATAAATCCAAATTGTATCCTATAGGTATCTTATTTTATCAAATATCTGTTTCAAATTGGGTTCATATTAGGATATTGTGATGCTGATTTGAACCTGATTTGCCTTGTATGGTTTGCTTTAAGAATAAATGATTCTAAGATAGAATGCAAAATCTATTAAATAGATAGCAAAATTTATATATAGTAAGTAACACCCTGGGTTAAGTTGTAATAGATAACAATTATAAGCAAAAAGTTTAAATAAATATTTCTCATAGTTGGAATGCAAATACAGCAGATAGTGTAAAACCTTTGGGCAAACTATTTAAATTAGGCACTAAAAGTGCATATATAGCTTGATGTACTCCCATTATAATTGTATAAATATCTAGTACACTTAATAAAAAGTCCTCAAGCCAAAGAGACCACTTTAATACAAAAAAAATAATAATAATAAATAATCTAGATACTGTTTATCTATGATAAATTTTTAAAATTACTATTAAAATATGTATTTTTTAAACTTAGATAACTTTTAATAGACTGGTCTGTTTTGAATAATTTTAAAAATAATCATCTTAATGAGATGATTTCAATAAACTCAAAATTGTTAAAATCTGATCACAGAATCATGAAATCATTAAAAATTTTATATTATAAAAATTTTTACAAATTTTATATCTCATGATCTAGTAATCAAGATTTAATGATTTTAATACTATTCAATTCATCTTATCAAGATGGATTAAATATTACTCAAATTGTACAAATTGTTAAATTATAATCACTAGATCCACAGGTTGAAATAAGGCAAATTGGGTTCAAATCAGCATCACAATATCCTGATATGAACCTGATTTGAAATAGATATTTGGCACAAATAAGATACCTATAGAATCCAATTCGGATTCAAATCAGCTCACAAGACATATTAGCAAAATAATAGCTCTATAGGTAAATCGATAGAGCTATAAGATTTGCTCTATTGATTTACCTATAGAGCTATCATTTTGCCGATATATCTTGTGAGCTGATATGAATCCGAATTGTATCCTATAGGTATCTTATTTGTGCCAAATATCTGTTTCAAATCGGGTCCATATCAGGATATTGTAATGCCGATTTGAACCCGATTTGCCTTATTTCTGTAATAACAGGATATTGATATTTGAAAAAATGTTTATAAAAGCCTAACCAACTTAATATATAATAGTCAGGACTTGATAATTTTAATACCATTCGATTCTTATCGATAAGACAGTTTCGAATGATACCAAGATCATCAAATCCTGATTATTAGATCACGAGATATTCGCAAAAAACGATTCAAAACACGGTTCTATACATACAAAAATTTCTGCACAGAACAGTGCTGCAAATCGTTTTTGCAAATATCTTATGAACTGGTGATTAGAATTTGCCGATTTTTTGGTACCGTTCAAACCATCTCGTCGAGATGAATCGAATGGTACCAAAATAAGAGTTTTGACTACGTGTAGTACTCCGCAAAATCAAATCAAAATTTGAATTTGAATCAAATTTTTTAAAAATTTGATCAAATATTTTCAAATATTTGATTCAAATTCAAATTTTGATTTGATTTTGTGGAGTACTAGTTTTGACCATTAGATATCGAGATAGTCAAGTTTTTATGAATATTATTTAAAGATTAATATCTTGTGATCTAGTGACCAGAATTTAAAGATTTAAGCACTATTTGATCCGACTCGATGAGACAAATCGAATGGTACCAAAATTATTAAATTTTGATCATTAGATAATGAGAAATCATAAAATTTGTAAAAAATTCACAGGGTTGCAAATATGTGCACCAAATTCATTTTCCCGATGAATTAAGTATTCTAAAAAGAATACTGATTTTTATATAAATAAAGTATATAATTTTTAAATAAGATAATTTTGATTTTAATTATTTGATGTATACAAGTACTACATGAAATATTCAATCAAATTTTAAAAATTCAGGGCAAATTTGCAGGAAAAACGGTTTAAGGGATGCTACTTGACTTAGCGTGAAGAAATGTGTACGAAAAAGAATAAAACTAAAACAAAACTAAGGATAATAACTAAACAAAACTAAGACTAGAATATACGGTATAAAACAATGAAGCTAAGAGAGAATGCTCAAGAAAAGACACTAAAACTAAGATAAAAACGTAGTAAAAACAAGATAAAACACAATAAAATCACAATAGAATCACAATAAAAAGAGCAGACATTCTATATATAAAAGCTTGAATTTCAGATGCTCCAATTGGATTTTTGTCCCGTCATTGGCAGCACAAAAAGTACGATATCAGTTTATTAGGTAAAAGATAAGAGAATACAGACAGGTTTGTCCATCAAATGTATAGTCCCAAGCAGATTTTTTAGGTATTAAGAAGATATTGAAGTTTTCCAGTTTTTTTTGGATTTGTTGGAGTTGAAGACATTTAGAGAGAAAAAGTTTGAGGTGGTTCACTTGCCTCTGCCTGAGGCGGAGACTTTGCTGTTCTGATTTTATCAAGACTCGTTGTGACCGTTACACATTGATCTTACGATCAGATTGGGCAATAATCACGGGACTATAAAATTTTTTTCGTTACTTCCAAATTTCGATATTGCTAGCATTAGATTTTCGTTAAAAATGCTTGATCCAAATAATCTATCAACGAGCGATATTAGTAAACAACCAAAATTTAAATTCCTAGTAGTGGATTCAGGTCCTTTAATTAAAGGCGCTGACGTTCGTCATTTAGCCGAAAAAGTTTATACAATACCAGAAGTAATTCTAGAAATTCGTGATAAACATTCTCGCGATTTTTTAACACAAATTTCTTTTGATATTGAAACTATACTTCCTAATGATGAGGCCTTGAAAGAAGGTTTATATTTCACCATTTTTTTAATCTAATTCGATTAATCCGAATGTAAATTATTATTATTTTAAATTTATAGTTGTAAATTTTTCGAAAAAAACTGGTGACTATACAAGTTTATCTGCCATTGATTTGAGAGTCATGGCATTAACATATATGCTTGAAGTTCAATCAAATGGCACGGAAAGATTACGTAAAGAACCTGTTAAAGTAATAAAATATTTTTTTTAATCAATTTATTGCAACACACATTTCTTGTTAATAATGACTAAATAAACACGCGTTAAATTATCTAGTCTCATACACAATTTGGTGGCAATCAGAAGAATTTGAAAAAAGCTGAAATTGACACACCTACCCCTCAGTGTGACGATGATGATGACGACGAAGAAGGATGGATAACACCTGACAATATAATGAAATATCAAGAAAAAGAACAAATTTTAAATGTAAAAACAAAGAAAGATGAATCCGTGGATATTAAAGTTGCATGCATGACAACTGATTATTCCATGCAAGTATGTGATAACAACTTAAATAAATTTAGTAAAATTGATTTATTTATTTTGAACTTACATTTTCGCAAACCTGAATTTTTTTTTTTTAAAAGAATGTTTTGTTACAAATGGGTTTGAATTTAGTCTCCGTTGAAGGAGCTAGAATTAAAAAAGTGAAAAGTTGGGTTCTTCGGTGTCATGCGTGTTTCAAGTATTTAAAGAAATTACATTTATCATATGTTTAAATATATATCTATTTTTTTAAAAAAAATAATGACTTTATTATCTGGTGAAATAATATAGAATAACTACCAATATGGAAAAACAATTTTGTCCCTCTTGTGGTGGTGCTACTTTAATTCGCACATCAACTAGCACAGATATGAACGGCAAGGTGACTTATTATTTAAAAAAGAATTTTCAATATAATCTACGTGGAACAAAGGTAACTACAATATTGTGTAAATTAAACGTTATTTATACTAATTCTAAATTCTCTTTATATAAACTTTAGTATTCAATACTAATTCTAAATTCTCTTTATATAAACTTTAGTATTCAATACCAAACCCGAAAGGTGGTCGTAATGCCAACAATCTTATTCTTCGCGAGGATCAAAAAGAGTATCAAAAGGCCTTGAAGAATTATCGTAAACAAAAAGAAGTGGATATATTTGACCCGGATTATGTACCTAAACTTTTCATTGGATCTGGCTCTTCGACTTCTTGTGGAGCTCCAGTGGTTGGCTATGGTCGTAGAAATCCTAACGAAGCTACGCGAGGGAAGGGTAAAGGAAAGAAAAAACGATGAAAGACGATTAAAACACGTGATGCAATGAAGTAAACCATATTGTATTTCAAGCTTGTAATATTTCTAATATTTTATTTAATTATTCGTGATATGAATTAAAAATAATTGTTTTGATTAGTGAGCTTATAAGAATTGAAATTATGTTAATTAATGAAGGCTTTCAAGTATTGTTATGTACATAATATCAGTCTCTTACATTAGTATTCTTATTCAGGTGGTAACATGATTTATCACTATTTAAAGTTCATAATTGAGGTCACAAATTTATGTATTTAATAGTTCCAATATGTTGTAGAGTCACGAATAAACAAAAAAATAAAAATAAAAATACAAAATCAAAGTTATACTTTCGTTTACTTAACTAAATAATACTGAAGTAAGTAATCTCAAAAATATAACTTCTGAAATGTCTCAACGTAGAAAATAAATGAATTGATTGATATCAAATTATTAATACCGTATTGTTGCGCAGAGGTGTAGTTTTCAATTTTGATCTAAATTAAGCTTAATTCGGCCTAATTTCAATTTTGATCTAAATTAAGTTTAATTCGGGCCACGCATTTGTTTTGATCGTAGATCTGCAAAAATCATGATGTAATATTTATTTGTTTTGATATTCATTATATCCTTTTTTTTCAATTTTTACTTTCAACACAACACAACATACACAACCCGCACAATAAATTCGCAGTAAGCGTAAGTAACGTACTTTCGTTCTTTCATTGCCATTTCTATTTATATAAATCCACTATTACAGTAAATAATATAATGTTTAATTAATTATCAAATTGTTAATTAATTTAATAAGATTGGAGACGATATTGAGAAGTTGAGAGACGAGTTGCAAGAGCTGAGAAGGAAAAAGATAAATGGAAAGAAACGTATAAAGAGAAGACTCGATTATATTTCGCGATGCACGAAGCTACTATAACCTCGGCCTTCAATTCTGCTTCCATATCGACCGAACGAATTACTGGATAATCTTTAAAAGTATTATGAGTAAATGCTACTATATTAAATTTAAATTCTAATTTTTTATTTTTTTTTTGATGCGTTAACATACGTACGTAAATATATATTTTTTGTCTCGTCAGCCAATCGAATTTCAAGCTTAATTTCATTGATACGAAAATGTAACTTCGAAATAAGATGCTTTAAAGGTTTTTAACGTAAGAGAAAAAAAAAACATAAGTCATTTAAAAATATGAAACGATAATAATTGTTTGTTATAATGAAGATACAAGTATTAGCTTAGAAACGAAATCATTCTTTCTTTTTACAAAACATAGTCTTATAATTTCGTATGTGCTGTTCCCTTAATTAAATCATTAACCTGAAAATTTTGAAATTAACTTTGACCGATATGATAGTGTAGTAGAAATACCGAAAACAATTTGAACAATTTATAAAAGATGCGGTAGAAAATCTACAAAAACTGCGTTAGAAAATTTGGTTTACAATCAGAGAAGCCCGCAATATATTTACAAGAAGATTACTATTTCAATATATAAATTACGATTCTGAACACAAATTCCAGTTCAAGTGGCTTCTGTATAATGAATAAAAGAAAATCGTTGAAAGGTAGAAAGGTAAAACGGAGCATTCTCACAACAGCAGTTATAACCAAACTTAAAAATAATATAATACAAATAAAAGTTTTATTTATTTTAAGTTATATCTCTACATTTTAAAGCAAACGAAGGAAAACTAAATATTTTTTATTGTTTTTAGTTATATTTTTGTAGTTGTACAGTACAATGTAAAAATTCATGTTTTTTTTTCGAAACTTAAATAATCTATATATTTATTATATTATTAAACATTGATATTATTGTCATTAGTAAGTTCACTTTTTTTACAATCCGAATATTGAGTAGCTTGTCCCAGATTTTTTGTGCTTCGGATTTTGTTGTCGGAATCTTGATTATCGGAATTCTGTTGTAAACCCAAAATTTTTGATTCTAATTAAAAAAAAAGAAAAAATAAATATTAATTCTTAGTAAGTTAAAAATAAAGTACGAATTTTTATATAATTTAGAGACGAGTTTAGCGAACCACCTATTCAAAATAATTTGAGCTTTACTTAATATATTTAAGGAGTTATCTGAAGCTGGAGAAGAACGTTCACAGTACCGGTATGCAAACTGTGGCCACGATGAGCTTTCGATTCTCCAGCAAATATATATTTAAATAATTAAATATATATAGGTTGTGTTGTCATCCACTTATCTGAACCTTTGAGAAGAACGTTCACAGTACCGGTATTTTGCAAACTGTGACCACGATGAGCTTTCAATTCTCAGCAGTAACATTTAAGAGGAGTAAACGACACATGGGGGGGTGTTGTATCCCTTATCTGAAACATGAGAAGAACGTTCACAGTATTATGTAACTGTGGCCACGATGAGCTTTCAATTCTCAGTGGTAACATTTAAGAGGATAAACAACACGGGTATCAAGTGAACTTCTAAAGTTATGGTCTTTACAAGCACTAACAACAGTACTAACGAGAGACGAAACTAATTCCTCATCCGGAACCAGTAGACCTCACCATAACTTCAAGCTAAAAGCATCTCATTGCGCTCTCAACCAATTCACCTGATCGCATAGTTTAAAATATTAAAAATATTTTAAAACATCTGCGTAGTAGATATCTCCAAAAGATATAAAAAAGTAAATTCGGTAAAACGCATAGAGCTTATAACAACTCTCCCATCTAAAAATAATTAAAAAATTCAACAATAAAATTAACCTACCTATAATTCTTTTTAAAGATTATCCAGTAATTCGTTCGGTCGATATGGAAGCAGAATTGAAGGTCGAGGTTATAGTAGCTTCGTGCATCGTGGAATATAATCGAGTCTTCTCTTTATACGTTTCTTTCCATATCTTTTTCCTTCTCAGCTCTCGCAACTCGTCTCTCAACTTCTCATTATCGTCTCCAATCTTATTAAATTAATTAACAATTTGATAATTAATTAACATTATATTATTTACTGTAACGAAAGAACGAAAGTACGTTACTTACGCTTACTACGAATTTGTTGTATGTTGTATGTGTTGTGTTGAAGTAAAAATTGAAAAAAAAAGGATATAATGAATATCAAAACAAATAAATATTACATCATGATTTTTGCAGATCTACGATCAAAACAAATGCGTTATTTAGCGTTAGAGTAATGGCCCGAATTAAACTTAATTTAGATCGAAATTGAAATTAGGCCCGAATTAAGCCTAATTTAGATCAAAATTGAAATTACACCTCTGCGCGTTATTTCGCAACAATACGGTATTAATAATTTGATATCAATCAATTCATTTATTTTCTACGTTGAGACGTTTCAGAAGTTATATTTTTGAGATTACTTACTTATAGATCCTACTTTCCGTGATATTTCCGTGCCACATCCCTGCTTTCTATGCTGATTTCATAATTCTGTAGCATTCTGCAACTAATCCCAAAAAACTCTGCACTGTAAGTTTAAAACAAAAAAAAAAAAAATTCAAGAATTTTGGTATATAGCTAGTGATAGGATTTTTTATTAATAGTTATTATTAATATATACTGTATATACAATTCAATAATACGATTTTAATACAATTTGAACTGTGTAACTATTGTAGATTCTGTTAAAAATAAAGCAAATTTATTGTATTATTTCTACTATATAACATTCGATTCATCTATGAACTGCATGATCGAGTCGAAAAAGGCACGGTTGGAAAGAATTGCATTATATTAAGATGTTAAGATGATTATCGTACTGTATTTATTTACAGTATATAAATCTTCATTATAGATCCCATATATTAGACCACTCAGATTTGGAAAGAGGTAGGAAATAAAGACCCGTATCTATTGTATAACGTTATTTTATATGATATTATTTAGTTTTAAATCAACCCTGGATATAGCGAATCTTTGATATAGAAAACAGTAAATTATTCTGTTTATTGTTATGAGCGCCAATTTATTACATCCAGAGTTGATTTACATCTAGAGTTGACTATATTGATAATAGATCCTCTGCAAGAGTGAAGTCTAAAACGGTTTTTGGAGACCTGTGTGGTTTACATGAGGAATACACTATTATCGTTTATTATAGTTTGATTAACTTAACGTTTGATGAATTAGACTTTTGTAACATAAAACATAATACAATAGTTTAATTCATTAGTGTAAAGTTATATCATCTAACACTAAATAGCTTGAACAATTAAAAAATACATTCTCTAATTTGACTAAATGTCATATGCTGTTTTAAGTTTCGAGCCATACAAACAATTCATGAAAATACTTTAATTTTTGTTATAACTAAATATTGAAATCATTCTAAAAAAAAAAAAAAAAAAATAACCTTACAAATCAGTAGATCAATGATAATAATAAAGTTATATATATATATATATGATAGCCAAATGACTCAATAAATTTAATAGTATAACATATCATACTTTTGCAATAATTTAATATAAAAGGTGCTTTTCTTATTTTACTAAATATTATTCTTTTTTTCAGGTAAGATTTTTGTAATATTCTTAAGATCAATTTTCAAACATCGTGCGTGCCTTTCTCATTTAGAAAAATAGCAATGGAAACCGAATTAGCCAAGCCACGAAATGTCATGCACACTTTATACAAACTACATGATTGGATAAAGAAAGGATTAGTCGATATTAACCCAGATTTCCAACGTGGTAGATATTTTTATAGTAAAGAAAATTTGTTATTTTACGTGATACTTTGAAAAATATCTAAAAGAATCTTCATATTAAAATGCATTTAAATAATGATCACAGGCGTCGTTTGGCGAGGTATGTATTTTTTTTTTATAATATCTCTTTTAATAATTATCTTGTAATATTCTAATTAATGATTTATTATGATAAAATGGATTATTAATCAGATATCAAGCAATCTCATTTGATCGATTCAATTTTTAATAATCTGTATATTCCCCCTTTGATCTTTTCGTGCAAGAAATCAGAAGATAATAATAAATGGATGCGAATTTGCATCGATGGGAAACAGAGATTGACTTCTATCTCAAGGTAAATAATATGATTTTAACCTTTTTTTTTATTCTTTATGAATCATATTAAATTTATTTATTTTATTAGATTTATGAATAATGAAATTCCTCATATTATTCCTTCAAAAGGAACAACCATTAAACGGTATTTCAATAATGAAGGTCTTGATGGAATGAGTAGAAATGTGTTATCCGAAGAAGCAAGAGAACATTTCGAATGTTATGAATTTGTTTGTGGTATGTGTACTATGTGATTTTGTAACTTATATTACCAATACAACACTTTTTAATATGAATTTTAAATTTTATCTTAGTTGAATATTACGATCTCTCGTTAGTACAAGAACATGAAATATTTAGTCGTGTTCAACTTGGTGTTCCTTTAACTACTGCAGGTAAGACTTTTTATGTCACTACGATATTAAATAATTTTTTTTAACACTAATAAAAATTTTTATAGAAAAACTCGCGGTAATTAATACACCAATCACAAACTTTGCTCAAAATCTTTACCGTTCTTATCCTTCTATCTCTAAAATTATCGATACAAAACGCGGAAAGCCCCTTCAAGTAATCTCTCAGGCCCTCCTCATGATTGAAGATTCGGAAAAATGTAAAATCACTGTTAAATGTATAGAAAATTACCTGAAAGATGATCGTGAAGTCCCTTTTGAACTTTCTCAGACGATCAAACAAGTGTTTGAAACTTTATCAACATTAATTGATGTTAATGTTAAATTATTTCATGAAAACCATAAATTTTCACCAATTGAATTTGTCTTTTTCTGTTGGATCGTTGCAAAGTTTCCAGGAATTGGAATAGATGCTTATCAAGATTATTTGAAAAGTATGAAAGAGTACGTTAGAAGATATCACGTAGATGTTAGATTTAATCAAAAAGTTTATACGACTCTTAAAAGATTTGTTGATGAGCTCGATCAAGAAGAAGAGCTTGTAGATGAATTATGGGATGATATTTGTGAAAATGATGAATATGATGAATTATGGGATGATATTTATAAAAATGATGAAAAGGTCGAAGATAAGAATGAAGACCTTGAATCCTTGCCTTCAAAGAAAATTAAGATTAAAAAATGAATAATTTTTATTCAATCAGTAATCGTATTTGAATTATGTAGACTTTATATATGTAAAACATGTTTGTGATTTTTGGTATGCTGAATGTGTATTACAGTATGTTTGCAAGTTTATAACTGTATATTATTCTTTCAGATAAAATGCTAATTTAAACTTAAATCTTGTTCTAACTTATAATCTATGGAAATACTTGTTTCTAACGCACCAATTCTGGAAAGTTTATATTTGAAAATCATGAAATAAGAATATACTTTGATAACTATTATTGTTAATTATATACAGTATATGAGTGCCACAACAACCCCACAAAAAATATAGCTTACATTTAAAACTCATAAAAAGCTGTTTTAGTAATAACCAATTACTCATGCCATGCGCAATTTATTGTTATTGGTTTCAGAGCTTTATCTATAACGTAGCTACATTTTTTTGTGGGATGTTACTGTAATATTAACCAATCCATATACAATACAATACTCTACCGTACAGCGCTGCATACAGTACCCCCTTGAAGAAGTATCCCCTTTAAGTAGTATCCGGGTACTATTGAATCGTAAATTCTATCATTTTTGAAAAATACCCTG